GCCTCACAGCACAGCCCTCCACAGCACACAAAACACTCCTGTGAACCATTCCCACAAAGACATACTTCTTATATGGGGTGTAAAATGTTTTCTGGGCCTACAGGTGACCAAAAATGGCTTTTTCCCAGGAAATACCAACCAGGAGAATGAGAAAAAGTTAATACATGTGAAGTCTTGGACCCTATCAGTTTTTATCTTTTCTTAACTAAATAAATCAGTACTTCCAATGCGTCATCATAGCCTCCCAAGCATCTTACTCTTTTTGTTCCCTTTCAGCTCTCTCCATATTGTTTATAATGTCTCCAAGTCTGGCACCACAACTGGTCACTCCAGCTTAAGCCTTCCTGCTCACAACTGCATCAGTGAGCCCACAGTGGCATTTGCCTTTGATCCTTTGATGGAGGAGTGTAACGCTCAGACCCTTCTTGCAGTACCGTGTACTTAGCTCTTCGCTAGTACTGCCTTGCAAATTGCTTTTTTTTCTTTCTAGATGCAGTGTCTGTGCACATCTCACTGACTTCAAAACAGTTTATAAATGTATGAAGTGAATGCTGAACTGAAACCTTGACATCCAAAGTGCTTGAAACTCCTTCTGGTTTTTATGCAATACTCTATATTCCAGTTTAGATTTATTAAAATACTGAACAGTTCCTAACCTAAGAGAGCCCTCAGGGACTGTACTTGACATGTCCTACTAATTTGCCAGTGAACTTCTGAAAACTACTCAGGAACCACTGAGAGATCCACAAATTCAAAGGCAAGCAAGGTCATGAACTTTCATGTATCAGTGAATTCCCAGTGAAAGTCTGCACGCATGCTCTTACCTGCGAGGAATAAACTCGTGGTGATTGCAGGGTACGATCACACATGCACACAGGGAACCTCACAGCAACAGCCATGCTGCTGGGTAAACAAAGGTGAGAAGCTGCAGCAAGTTCTTTGTTCCCCTGCACTTCTAGCAGATCTCCACAGCCAGCCCTGCACTTGCTTCATAATATTCTCATCTAGACCTTTTCTCTTTTTCCATGGTCTGCTTCTGTGACCAGAATATGAAACCAATGCCGAGCGTCCTACTAAAACATATGCTACAGATCACTTGAGCAAATACATCACTGGAGCACACCACTTCCAGAGGGCTTTTAGTAATTTCTTAGACTGCTCTGGCCAGCTTTTTGGGGAGATGCTTACCTTCTACCCTTTAGGAGAACCTCACAATTACCCATATCTCGTTGTTAAGTAACCAACTCGCCTACAAAGACTTCCTGAAAACAACAGCAGCAGTCTTGTAAAAGGCAGGGTTGGCTGATCTGTGTCACACTGGCACAAACTAGTGCAATACTAAACCATGCTGGGAAGCTGTACATGCACTGTATGCTTGCACAACTGTCTGAACTATGTCACTGGGAACATCATTTGCTTTTACAAATAATAGCTTCAAGAAGCAAACACTTCAATTTTATTAATTATATTTGGAGTCACAGAATTAAAAGGTAACTTCAGGGGTTGGACTGGATCTCTAGAGGTGACTTGATCCAACCCCTCCACACAAAATGGGACCAGCTAGGTCAGGTTGCCCAGGGCCCATGTTCAGCCAAGTTCTGTCCATCTCCAAGGATGGAGCAGCCACAACTTCTCTGAGCAGGCTGTTTCACTCTTGAGGTGAAACTGTTTTCCTCATATCTAACTGGCATTCTCCTTGTTGCAACTTGTGTTTGTTGCCTCCAGCAATAATGTGCCCCAGTGAGAAGAGTCTGGCTTCATCTTCTCCATGCCTTCCTATTCAACAGCTAAAGAAAGAAAGATCTCCCAGCCCCATCACTCCTCTCTGCTTTGGCCCAAGGGGAAAAAAGAAAAAAAAAAAAAAAAAAAAGAAAAAATATATCAGTCCTCTAAACCTCTCGTTATTTTTTCCAAATCACGTTAGGTATTAAAAATGCTTTTTAACTGTAGCTGGTGAAACATTCAGAGACTTGTAACACATAATCACACCGAGCCCCACTAAGACCACCCCTGGTTATTTAACAGAGATAAATAACTTCAGAGGAAAACTAGACAAAGAGATGACCCTTTTCACAATGTCTCATGTAGCTGGAAAGGAATTTTATTTACAATATTTAAATGCAGTACTGTGAAACAAACAACTTGGTTCACAGGCACTGCACCCGCTGCTGAACTGTCACTGCCTGACATCCTGTCTTATCTGCCAAATTGCTCATTAGGTTTGGCAATTTTCACCTGCGCCTCCAGTTTATATTTCAGCAGGGAATAAACATCAGTCTGCTTTAACAATCTTCTGCAGTGAGCTTCCAACCTCTTCTCAGAAAGCACGCAGGCACACACAAAAAACGCCTTGTCTACCGCATGCTTAGAAAAAAAAAAATGCAGCTCAACTGATGAAATACAACAAGAGGAAGTTTAACTGGGTAACAGAAAAGCAGTAAAAGAGAAGGAGCTAGATAAGAAACAAATAAATCAACTGCTTGTATCGATGAATTATGTTTTCACATTGCAAAACAACACAGGGGGTATGGGCCAGCCTCATTTTTCTTTCCACATTTAGATGGAAAGATTCAATTTGACACAAACCCCCCCATGTGCAAAGTACAGGCTGTGTTTGTGCATGGGAAAAGAGGGAATCCAGATGAATATTACTTTTCCAGCTGGACCTGATCTAGCTAACCTTTCCCTTGCTGGGAGAGGAGCGATGGCGTGATCTATAAACAAACAAAAGGGGTAGCATGGCAACCAGAACAAAGAGACGAAAATCTCAGCAGGCCCTTAAGCCCCAGCCTAATGCTGAGATGCTGCCTCCAACGGAGACCGCTCCGCACCCCTCGGGTGCAGGTGAGCGGCAGCAGAACGGCACAGAGCTACGCTCCTGCCAGCGAACTGCTGAGAAACAGAGCCCAGCTTGCGAGCAAAAAGCACCAGAGACGTAAAACAAAATGTCTAAAATGCTATAAACCAATTTCAGACGGAATACTGTTTTTCATTTGTTAGAAGTAAAATATTCACCGCCAACCCTGCAATTAGCTAGAAAATTACAATAATTACAGCAATTTTGTATCCCATCTCCAATCCAATTAATAGATATATGACCTTGTCAACATGTAATAATCAGGATCTGCATCTACCACAAAACTGGATGGGTTTTATTGGCTGAATAGAACTTACACAGTAAGAAGATAATTATTTGAAATACTGAGAATACCATTTGTATGCTATGCTTCGCTTCACAAGTTATAAAGGAACTACAATAGGGATATTATTTCCATTTTCAATGTATATTTAAATGAAATTCTTGAAATAGGTATGTTTAATATGGGATAATACTACTGGACTGGGACTCTTAAGCCTGTGGCTCAGAACATTTAGAAACAAAATATATCTAATTGTCAACATATTAAAAAAAATAGTAATAACCAGCCAGGTAGGAGAACATTGTGATAACATGACAAATTGTTTCACCCCTTTTGGTTTGGCATTCTTTTATTAAAAGTGTCAAAAGTGCTATAATTCTTACTAACAGTTTTAAAAGTCTTCTGCATTTTATAGACCTTTGTATTGTAGGGTCTCAAAGCACTTTTTGGTCATTTTAGCAATCAGTGAACTAGCCAAGTACCCCATGTACTTTCTAGAATTACACCAAAGATAAGCAAGCTGTCCAATATATTACTGAATTTTATCTGTACTATATGATTTTGATGCACTAACAACAATGTACTGTATAATACACCAGATAATCACACTGAGGAGAAAATGTCTATGTTTTTCTCTGCTCTAGCCCCTCTCAAGTTGAGAACTCAGGAGGACAGCTTTCTTGGCACGCACAGAGGGGAGATATGTGTTTAGTAGTAGCACACCCCAGTGACAGCAAAACAGAAGGGTCCTGAAATTCCAGTATCCTACTTTACTCTATCATTAATCCTTCCCCTGATTTAATTTCTGGGTTATAATGAAGCATAGTTATAGCTTGAAGAGACACATGTTCAAGCCTACATAAACTAACTGATGTGTTGTTCCCTTAATTTTACAGAAAATACTCTGGTACAAAACTCCTCAAACTCAACAGAGGGTTCTAACTTTTCCATCTGTGTTTTACCTCATTACTTAAAAACAGATTTTATATATTAAAAGAACACCTACAGAGAAGTAACCTCTTGAGAATTACAAATAGTCTTTAAAAATACTTTAATATCAAAGGACTGACTGATACTAACTTCTGCGAAGAATTTTCTGGAGTGGAGTCACTACTTCACAAGTTAGGTGAGCAAATTATAAGATACTACATCTACGAGGGCACAGTGCTTTATCCAACACTGTCTTTTTTGCAGGGCAATTTTAACAACAATAAAAATTACACAGTAAATTTTGTTATATGATTTTTCTTCTTAGTAAGATGAAATATTCAAAGATCCTACCTAAGCAAGATATGTGATCTATAAATCCTGCTTCATGGTTTTGCAACAAGTCTTCCTCATGTTGAAATAACAAGATTAAGGGATGTTCCTGGCTATGGTTTCTGGTTTTTATGGAAGTGTATTATTGAAACACAGTAAATACAAGTATCAGCAGGTGTTTTTATGGAAAGGTGACAAGCATAACCTAGCAACATTGACAGGTTCAGTAGAAAGTGTTCCTATCTTCAGTTTCTTTTAACCCTTTTCTTCATTAAATGGAATGAAACTGGCAAAGTGAAAATTACACCATGCTGCAACTGCACATGGAAATTCTGCTGTTATTTTCTGTGTGAGGACAATTTTAAATTGGCAGCACAGAAGCAGCTTATTGCTCTTAAAAGCAGTTTATAAATAATTTATTAAAACAAAAAGGTTTGTTTGCTTGCATGCAACAAGCATTTATGCAGTTTCTCAATTCTGATCAGCTTTTGATGAGGACAGATAATGAATCATTTTCCCACCAGCCCGAATGGGTAACAGCACTTGGCACCCTTGCAAATTAAGATGAAACACATGGAGATACGGAGAACATGAACTTACTTGCACGAAGGACTGAAGGGGTGACCTCAATTTCACTTGTTGCTTGGTAAGGCTGAAAGGCCGATGCCGCATTGGAGCCAAGCTCACTGCCAAAAATCTCGGGGCTTTGCGTGCCTGTCGAGCTGGCGCTGGTGCCATCACCTCCATGGTGTGGATCTTGCTCATCAAACACAGCTACGAGCTGCAAATGACAATTTAATCTACTGTTAAAAAAAACCTTTCAACCACATCAAAGTGCCATTGTAGATCAGCATTTCTTCCCACCAAAAAGCAAGAAATATCTACCGACAGAGACTCAGATCAATGCCTAGATCACAAAAACATCAGCCCAAGGAAAGGCAGACATTAATTGGATAGTACAAAGGGTCAACAGCTCTGATGGCACACAAAACCCATCACTACAAGCCGCAGGATGAACGGCGCCAAGTCAGGAAAGGAAGGGATGCACCTTCCCCAGCAAAGCACTTCATCTTAGCCATCAATGCAGAAAACTGAGTGCCGACCGATACCTGTGCACTGGAGTTTATCACCTGGTTTTGAAACCTCTGTTTGCATCATAACTACAGACTCAGATCTTGAGCACAACCACACTTTTATAGAATGAAAACATACAATAAGTACGTACGTTAATACACAGTGAAAGCTACATACAAAATCCAAAGCCGCCCAAAAGCATTATTATCCCTACCAAATATCATCTATTAATCTGCACCTATTCATCTATTATCTATTAATATAAATTCTGGTCTTCCCTTGAAACATTTCTTTTGTCAAATTTACAGAGATATTTCTTTATTTGTTTGCCATCGACTCCTCCAGGACAAGCCTAAGAACTGATGCCCAATTTGAAACCTGGCCAAGTCATTAATTTAAAAAAAGTTTACTAAATCTATGTTCACTGTTGTAAGGGAAACAGGAAAAAAGTCACGGTGTTTTTCGGTAATATGAGATTTTTTTTACACTGTACATGGTTGTTTTCATTTGAAACATATAATGTATCCCAATTTATCTTTGGTGACCTACTGAAAGAAGAAAGGCCAGCTCTTACACACTTTCAATTTTAAAACTTATTCTTCAAGACGGGTAAAAAAGTTCTATGGATAACAACATTCTGCAGCCTATAAATTAACATGTAACGTAATGTTTGAAAGACATTTCCAAGAAAGTATTACATTCTTCAGTCCAAATTGCTAGGGTAAATGGAGCAAATCAATTTAAAAGAAAACTGATCTCTGCAAATTGTTTATTTTGTTAGAACAACACTTAGAGCTTTGTATAAGCTAAAGGAATCAGACAGATCATTTTCTCTTCTCTGTTTTCTTTTTCCTTTTTTTTTTTTTTGGAAGCAAATTTGACATCACCTCATCCTACAAATTTCATTATGGGTCCCTACTCAAATCTAACTTACACAACATCAGTAAAAAAATTGAAAACAGCAACTTAGTCCAAACGGAAACCATTTGGGAATTCGGTTTTTGAAAGTACTTCCAGGCTTTAACTTTTTTTAACGAGTAGTTTTGTAATCGTAGATTAGTAAACTTCTTCCAGTAATTCTGTACCTAATGCAAATTTAGGTTCTGGCACACACAAAACAAAAAGAATGAATAGGTAATGGTTAAAAAAGTCCATGCTCCCTCCAGTGCTGTTTGAAAGGTAGGAAGCAGGAGGAAAACAAGGCTGCAGCTGCAGACAGCTAGAATATGTTTTTAACATACAATTCATTATTTTATGCTTGAGAAATCTACACACACAAGAGACGTGACAACACCTAAAATGTCAGTAGCTCAAGAGTATTGGAAATTTAATTTTCTAACACATTGTGAAATACCAGTGCTTACAAAAAATTGAAGCCTATTTCTCAAAAGAAGTACACTTTACTCATAACACTTTTGCTGTTCGTTTTATAACAACCTAATTACCAATCTCCAGGAAGTGAAAATAAATTAATCCACAAGTGAAGATGTGTAAGGTATTAGAACAAAAGAAACCAATGTATTTAAAAATTCTAGGCATGAAACATCAAATCTTTTTCTCCTCTGCATGGCATGTATCAAGATAAATCCCCAAATTACATTCTGTTCCTTTGAAGTTGATCGAAAAATACTATTCCATGCATGCTGCTGCAACTATTTTATATACATTATATATGTTCAAATGCATATGCACATAAATCTATGTTCTACTGTAAGTTGCCTCCAGCTTTTCGCCTATCCCAGTCTATAACCTATGACTTCAGAACACCTGAAACCTAATGTTTCTCATTTCAAGCTTAGCTTTTTGATCTTGTGTATTTTCACAGGTATTCGCCATTTTGACAGCATCAAACCTTCAAAAGGCTTCAGTTCCATTACAAAGCATACCAAGTTGAAACATTTTTGCATACAACATGTGAGGAAACATAAGCCGTGTCTGTCTTCTCCAGATCAAATTAGCGTTAGGAAGGCAGGTTAGGAAGTTCATTGTGAAACAGCGTTACAAAGGTACACGCATTCCTTATAACAAGCTAGAGACTCTTCAGGGCTGGAAGACTTCATGTGAATAAACAGTGTTGGATCTTGACTTCCAGTGCTTGGCATGCCACCCTGCAATGATGAGCTCACAGGAAACAAAGACAGCCAAAACAACTTACACTGTATTGTGATGCCATGTGTTCATTTTTGATTTCTCTACCACAATCAAGGGAAGTTCTTCGAGGAAAGGAATTAAACACTTCTGAACCTTTGGAGACCCTGAAATCACACCTAAACTACCATTTCTTTGGGAAAAAGAAAGAAAATAAAAAACATCTAAAGAGACATCGTTACAGCTACTGAGAAGGAAGCACACAAACAGGTGGCTGGACCTAACAAAGAAGCCTTCGCAGCATGAATCTGCACCAATAAACACTGCTCTATGCCAAGAAAAGAAATGGCCTGTCAGTGAGGTGTCAATCACATTTAAAGGCCAAAGAGAAGTCTTTAATTTGGCAAAACACAGAACACAGATTAATAGACCAACTTTTATCAGCCTTAAAGTCAATGGTAAACCTATGGTATTTTGATCGGCTTTAAATAGTAGATTTACAAAGAGTAGAAAACAAAGTTGCTTCTTTTTTTTTTTTTTTTTTTAAGGACAGGACCTACACCCATCACCTAGTCCTGCTGCCAGACCCATTTGGGTCTGATCGAGTTAAAGCATGTTATTAAGGGCACTGGTCAAATGCCTCTTACACACTGACAGGCTTGGGTCATCGACCACCTCTCTAGGGAGCCTGTTGACTGAAATTATCATAACCATGACCAGTGTCGGTTTTCAAATGCAATGGATTGCATATTCCTTCCCAGCATCACTCTATGATTTGTTCCAATACTGATATGAGCTGTGTTTTCTGATCTCTGTCCTTCAGTTTCAGATGTCAACACTTGCAGTGACATGAGGAACCCATCATACCATCCATTCTTACCCAGAAGGGATCAGCAGAAGGGCTGAACTAACCATAGCAGTGCAGGAAGAAAGAACATAGCTCAGCTGTTCAATACTAGATCAATATTAGCTTTTTAAAAGTCTTCCACCAAAGTTCAGTGAAAACTGGAGCCATTTAGCTTGTCTGAATCTATTTTTTTTTTTTAAAAAAGATAACCCCACAGCCAGAGACCAAGTATCATATCAACAATAACAGTAAATAAATAATAGTAGTAGTAGCAGTTATGGTAATAATTTGACTTACATCCACACCCTTTTCCATAGAACCTGAACTTTAATGCACCAAAGATATGAAAACATGACTAAATAGGTTAGAGCAGTTTTAATCTCACAGGGTAACAGAACACACTATTTGCACTTTTGAATCACTGAACTAAAAATCTGGAAATGGGAAATAAAATCAAGTAGCAACAAGACACTCTGTCTTCCCAAAACAGTTTTTAAACAATGATAGCCTTAATTTAGACTGGCATGTTTACATTTCTAATTATAATGTAGCAACATCAAAAAATAAGGCTTCAATGCAGATCCAAATTCTTCATCAGAGTAAGTGGGGACAGAAGAATCACCAGTTTGAACAGGAATTTGGTCCCCAGGGAAAGTGTACACTAATTTTTCAAGGAAAATGAAGTTTCAGATATTCAGTAGTGCTTTCAAATACAAAGACAGCAGCTTTGTTCAGATCACAACTTATGGAAAATTTCATTTTGTTTTAGTAATGAAATTACACTAAGTCTTCAAAAGGTCAATATGCATAAACTAAAATAGTCCTATTTTTTAAACTCCAGAGCAAGAAATGTAAGGAATCTTATATGAATTATAAACAAAAGATAAGATTTTTTTTTAAAAAAAAAAAAAAAGCAACAACATTCAGGGTCTGACCAACAGCATTATTTTCTTTTTTTAAAACAAAGAAGTGCTGTAAAACTCAACAATTATCCCACTGGCAATTTTAAGAGTGATGAGGTTTTTTACTGCTACCATCATCCTCTGAAGAGAAAAAGAAAAAGAGTACAATTTTAAAAACAGCTGCTAACTTGACGCTGTTCTCCTTTGACTAATGAAGACTCTCTACAGCAAACAGAAAAATGATTCTAACAGCATCAGACACTGAAACCAAGTTTTACTGAGGCCCCTTTGGCTTTGGGATAGGAGGGAGGCATTCCAGCAGATCACTGCATTCAGTCCTCTAAAGCACATCCGACTGTCTTCCCACAATACCATGTGGTACAGCATTAATTACACTCCAACCTTTAGTTCTTTTGGAAAGAGATACCAAGATGAGCTTCTCTATTGCTCTGTCTGGGACTCAACATATCACACTAGCCAGGTTATATTTACTTAAATAAATAAAAAGCAAGAAGACTGATTTAATATTGACACAGCAGCAGCAGTCTGCATTCCAACATTAATTATTACAATTTCCGTCTATTCTAAGGTAATTAAAAATTAGTAAACACATATGCAGTCTTAATTAATAGACTAGATTGAGTACTTGAATGTTAATTAACTGGATTAAAAAACTATGAGCACCAGCAACAGTTGTTTACATTTTCATCAAGTACTAAGACCTTATAAAACAACTCATGGCTATCAGATGGTGCAATCAGGTCAGGTCTCTTCAGGACAAACCAGGAATCCTCAGCTTCACAGAAACTCAGAAAGCTAGAAACTTTTCCTGTATTTTTTCCCCCCACCAGGACAAGTAAGACTGTCAAA